TCATGTATGAACCTTAAGAATTAACTTAATTTGTAGCCATATAACTCGAGATATTCTATAAACAAGAAATAGTGTTATAAATGAAGGTTGTGGCTTTTATGTTAAGTTATATTTAGGTAAAATATACATACAAAATGGAATCAACATGAAAAATATATAGCTACTAGAAATGGCTAATTTAGAACTTAAAAAAATGACCGAGCACTCATGTTCACAGATTAATAACTCAAAACCATGAAGCATTTAATAAATAGGATGTAAGAAACAGTTGTACAACTTATGACTATATATATATATATATATATATATATATATATATATATATATATATATATATATATATATATATTGCAAAAATTGGACTTTGAATGAAGAAGTTATGATTAATTGAAGATGAGGAAAAAAAATAGTGAAAATGTAAAAAGGCAAAAAAAAATTCTATGTTTGGGAAAAAGATGTATATGCAAGAGGTACATACTCCGGAGCTTCAAATAGATAACCTCCCAGTTTCCAAATCACTTGTGTGATAGGTTCCAATTGTGATCAGAACTGATGGTATAACCATGTCAACGATTGGTATCAATGATGTTGGGACTCGAAAAAAAAATATACTTTAGGTATTGATTTTTAGTGGATGGTCCATAAAATATACTTGAAAATAATTCTATTGGAAAATTGTGCAAAAGACTTGATTCTATAAACTTTAAATGGCAATCCAGTTTTAAATTTATAAAACCAAACAGACTAAACTGAAACTACCTACACCAAGTAGTGTACCTGATCATGAATAACAGATCTTAGGTATCTAATCATTTCAAACATAAGGGAAACGAATATGTAATACCATTATTATTAAATAACTATAATAGAAAGCATGTAAAATGAATTTAATGTAAACCAATTAAATAAACTAGCAAATAAATAATAAAGAACACACATAATTGTATAGATATATAACATAATCTGAAGGTACTTGTATTTGTATTTAATCATTATCTATTCTATATGTGAGTTCCTTTAAATGGATATTGATTTGTTTTTTACTAAATCCTATATTAACTAATTGAAACTTAATGTCCTTAATTGTATGTTTCTAGGTTATCTATGTCACACCCCCAAACCATAACGGCGGAAATGTTTGGGGGGCGGATGGAGTGACATTCATGTACAGTATCATAACAATTGAATATAATTGAAACATAGCAACACAAACATTCATACATTGAGGATTCATGTTTACACTATTTACAACACTTTGTTTGTTCAAAAGTTAAATATAAATAACTGAAAAGTAGAAAACCTGAAATGACGATGCTTACCCTCAAGAAGGGTTGAATACCTGTCTACTGGGTTCCTGAGAATACAAATAATTTCGAAAGGTGTCAAAAATTAAGTTGGTGAGTTCATAAGCATTTTTGTGTGAGAAGGATTTGTAACATTTTTGTGTAAAATGATTTGTATACTTCTAGAAAATCCAATATTTTCTTTTGTAAATGAAATGTAGTCTTAGGCCTTATGACCAAAAATGTACAAGTTTTCTTATGCTTAAAAGTTGTGATGCAAGATATGAAATTCATGTAAGTAGTGTAACCCTTAATGGTTCCTTCTATGATCATTTCGTGTATACAAATTATATATAATTAAGATCGAACGAATAGTCAATTGAATGATTCCACCCTAAGCCCACAATCAAAGAAGGACCAGGAAGTAAAGCGGAAATTACACATTCGACTGCTTATTGGTTCTTCAGTTTATATAACCCTAACGCATACACAAAGAAATTATAAAGAGAACGATAATGGTCCTATCAGAAATATAAGTTCCACTGTATGAGAAAATAGTATATTGTAATTGGATTTGTATGTAATCATTTTTAATGTATGTGTCTGGATTCACCATATGTACTATAAATAGAATTCATAAAGATGGTGGTTTTAACGTCAAGAATTTAAGGTCATGACATAACTACATGTTTTTTGATAAAACTATTGATTCTTGTTTGTCTTGTACGGATTTTTTTCAAGGCTTATTTCAAAATGAATTTCCAAATGTATATTATCTTTAAATCATACAAATTGTGTCCTATTGGATTTCATATAACATTATTGCATCAAGTAACATACATATATTGTGTGGATACACTTATACAAGACCTGTTAGACTTAGCTTAACCCAAAATTTTCCCAGTTTTCACAGTCTCTAACATATATGGTCAGCCCCAAGGTTAGTTGCGACTTCTCAAATTTCCTAAACCAATAGTGCAATCATGAATATTAACTCAATTATTCTTTGTCTAACCTAGAGATGTCTCCACTAATCAGATATGTCTACTCCTCAATTAGTCAAGTTATGGTCTCTTAATTATTAATTAACTAGTTAATTCAAGTATCAGAATCTGAAGACAATCATAAGATCTTGCACTAACTATATAGGCATAAGATTACCAATATTAATAAGGATATATCTTTAATTAAGAATTCATAATAAATTAAACAACTCTTAATAACCAAAATATCAACCAACAATAGAAATAGGGTTTAATATATATCAAATATTCATAAAGGGTTTGATCCCAAGTATTGAAAAAAAAAGATACAAAAAAAAAATTACAAATTATAGATAGAAAGGTAAATAGTTTGATAACCTAATGAATTCTTATCTTGATCTTTACATTTTTTTTTTTCATCTATATCAACCTTCCTGTTGATCTCACCAAGGGACCCTCAAAACAAACTCATTGGTCATCCCCCCCCCCCTTCTCCCCGCTTTCTCTTCAATTATGATTTTTATTTGACAAAACTTCAAAAATGGTCCTTGTGGTTTACGAAAATATCAAGTTTAGTCCCTAAGTTTAAAAAACCTCAAAGATGGTCCCTGTGGTTTTGAAACTTTTAACAAATGGTCCTTTTCGTTAACTCCGTTAGCTTTTGGCCGTTAAGTGGAGGGTATTTATGTCATTTCACTGTCACACGGACCATTTATGAAGATTTGTCTTATTTATATATAGATATATATATATATATAATATTAAAGGGTCCCTTACACACACTCACTCACTCACTCTCTCTCTCTCTATCTCTTTCTCTCTCTCTCTCTCTCTCTCTCTCTCTCTCTCTTATGCTGAAGAAAACTTAATCGCCACCACACTAGAAATATGCAAAACCACCACCTGAAATCAACGACTAGTCGACTTTCCTGTTCACCTCTGACAACAGTTATCACTAACCACTGGTAAACCACCAAAACTAACCAACAACATCAAATCTAAATGAAATTCAAATCTCAAATCAAAACAAAACCTGGAAATCAAACCTTAAACTCATATTCGAAAATCAGATAAGAACCAAAACCTTCAAATTTATTGAAACCATCATACTTAACCACCACCACAACTGGTAGTCTACACCACCACTAGAAAATGGAGCACCATTGTCGCCCCTTACCCTCTAACCTCACATGTTGTAATGTGTTCATCACCATCCCCATCACAGTCTACACAGTCAAGCTTTACACCACTTATCACCACTAGTCGACACTTGCACTCTCCTCCCGTCACCAGAGCTGATTCCAACTCTCAGATCTAGAGAATGCAACAGTAATAAGAGATCAGATTCTTTCTATATAAATCATCAAGTTCTAAAACCCTATTAAAGCATCAACTTCTATAAATCCTATTGAAGCACTGGTAACAAAATCAGGGATGTTCGCTTTCATCTTCGTTATGCTGGAAACTCGATTAAAGCATCAATTCTGAAACCATCGACTTTTGGGAATTTTATTGATTCAATTCTAGTATGGATCGATTTGGGATTTTTCTAAAACCTAAACCTTCAAAGACAAAGGACCTATAAAAAATCATGGCGATCCGAATCTTGTTGGAGTTAGATTGGTTGAAAAGATGAAATAGATCAGGTCGAGTTCTATGGAGTAGGGGGTGAAAGAGACGAAGCTTGGTGATCTGCCATGATCGGTGATTGTTTTGTTATAGCTATGGATCTGTTCCTCAGCATCACTAACATGGAAACTAAAATCTCCTAACAGAATAAAGAGAAAAACAAAATGAAGAAAGAGATTGAAAGATTACAAAGTGTTGGTGGAATAAAAAAAACCCTTAAGAATTTGTTGTCCAAAAGGAGAACGAGAAATCAAGAAAAACAAGAAGTGATTCAAATCAACACCCAGGTGTAGGTGACAAAATTGAGATTAGATTTTCTAAGATTCAATCTCCCCATTTAATCTCTACTCTTCGAAAACGGCGACACGATTAGCATCCGAGAGAGAGAGAGAGAGAGAGAGAGAGAGAGAGAGAGAGAGAGAGCGACCCTTTACATAATAACTTTTATTTTTTATTTTTTATTTTTAATTAAAATAAGAAAAAACCTCATAAATGGTCCCTTATTATTGAAATGACAAAAATGTCCCTCACTTAACGGTAGAAAGCTGACGGAGTTAGACGGAAGGACTAAACATTAAAAGTTTTGAAACCACAGGGACCATCTGTGAGGTTTTTTGAACTTAAGGACTAAACTTGATATTTTCAAAAATCATAGGGACCATTTTTGAAGTTTTGTCTTTTTATTTTGTATCTACATGCTTCTAGATGAAATTAGGTGCGTTTTTATAGTTTTTTTAATCGACATGAAATCTCGCCAGGAATTTAAAACCATGGTGTGAAATAAAAAATCTAGAAATTATCATTATAATATTTTGGGAAATCTTCAAAAAAGTCCCAAACTTTTGGGAAAAGTTACACTTTTGTCCCAACATTTTTTTTTTGAACAAAAAAACCCAGGAAACCGGGTAAATTGAACATTTCGGCCCTATTTTACCGGTGACCTTCATTTAGCTTGTTAAATTGGCTTATGTGGCAAGGACTTGTTTACGTGGGTTTAATCGATCTCATTTACACACATACATACACAATACAACTTACCTCTCTCGTTTCACTTTCTACCTCCCCTCATTAAACTAGGATTTTTTACCCCCGTGCAGTTGAAATCATGGATGACATCCATGATTTTGATACAATAGATTTGGAGCTGGATGCGTACTTCAAAAAGAAACAAGCTTCCCGATGCAAAGATGAATTTCTCAATATTCTATGTGAAGAAGACGATTACGAGGCAGTAGATGATGCTCAAACTGAAAATGATGCTCAAACTGGAAACGATGCTCAAACTGGAATCACTAAAGAAGAATCAGATGAAGATTATCTGGAAGGTAGTAACGAGGAAGGTAGTGATGAGGAATTTGAGTATTACACCCACAATCCAAAGGTGAAATGGAACAAAATGAGACCAATGCTTGGTGAAAGGTATGAATCCCCACATGAACTGAAACTGTGTTTGACGAACTATGCTATTAGTAAGGGTTTTCAAATCCGTTTCAAAAAATGCGATAGTGTTAGACTAGTGGCAATATGTGGAAGTGATCCAGAGAAGTGTCCATTTGTGGTTAGGGCTTCTTGGATGACTACTGAAAGGTCTTTCCAAGTCAAAAAGATGATACACATTCATAAATGTGTTAGGAATTTTAACAATTCAAGGCTTATGGATCCTACCTGGTTAGCTAGGAAATTTGTGAATGAGTTGATTAGGAAACCTAATTTAAAATGCAAAGAGATGCAGGTAATTATACAAAGTAATTTCATTGCAAAATTTCATGGTCAAAGTGTTATAGATCAAGGATGAGGGCACTGTCATTAATTCATGGGAATTTTAATGACCACTACGCAAGAGTTTGGGATTATGGGCATGAGCTACTGAGGTCCAATCCAGACAGCACAGTTAGGATTACAGTTACTGTAAACCCTGATAATACCACAACATTTCATAGATTCTACATTTGCTTTAAAGCAATAAGAGAGGGGTGGAAAAAGGCATGTCGTAGGCTAATAGGATTGGATGGTTCTTTTTTGAAGGGACAGTGTAAGGGTGAATTGTTAACTGCAATAGGTAGGGATGCCAGTAATCAGGTGTATCCTACAGCTTGGGCAGTTGTTGATGTAGAGAACAAGAACAACTGGAAATGGTTCCTGGATTTGGTTAATGATGATCTTGGATTGCAGGGTTGAAAGGGTGTGTGTGTAATCAGTGACCAACACAAGGTAAAGTAACTATCTGTTTATTTTTCATTATTTACAATAATGTATGGTGTTGCTAATTAACTATTTTTTTTTTCATGTTATATGGTCTTGTTGAAGCTAGTAAGGATATTCTACCATATGTTGATCACAGGCAATGTGCAAGGCATGTCTACGCCAATTTCAGAAATGTTTATAGTGGAGTGCAGTTCAGAAACATGTTTTGGGCAGCTGCAAAATCTACCACAGAAGGAGATTTCAAGTTTAATATGGAAAGGACTAGGGCAATAAGTTCTGATGCTTATGATCATCTCATGGCAAGGGAACCAACTTCATGGTGCAGGGCTTATTTCTCTACTGGCTTGGCTTGTGAGGCTGTAGAGAATGGGATTGCTGAGTGTTTCAATGTAATCATTGTAGACGCAAGAAAGAAACCTTTGCTGACTATGCTTGAAGAGATTAGGCTTTACATGATGGAAAGGGCTTTCAATCTGAAACAAGAAGCTGAAAACTGGGTTGGTGAAATTTGTCCTTCCGCGGTAACAAAGATGGAAGAATTTGGAGAAGACATTAAGTAAGTATTTTCAATTGTTTTGTTTTTACATGTTCTATCTTATGTGTTTGCATCTTATGTTCTATCTTATATGTTTGCAGAAGTTGGCATGCAGTTCCAAGTGGAGTGAATGAATATGAAGTAAGGAATGGGTTTCAGAACTATGGAGTTAACTTGAAGGAAAAAATATGTGCTTGTAGATTATGGGAACTTTCAGGAATACCTTGTGTGCATGCACAAGTGGAAATATTGTACACCAATCAAGATCCAGTTAACTTTATAAGTAGTTGGTTCAGCAAGAATAATTACAAGGCAGCTTATGATCATAATGTACACCCAGTTAATGGAAGTATCTTATGGGAAGAAACAAGCTACACTAAGCCCCTTCCACCCATTGAAAGGAAGATGCCAGGAAGGCCTAGTGTTAAAAGAAGAAGACATGTTTCAGAAAATCAAGACAAGTACTCTCAAGTGTCAAGCAAGGGTAGAACTGTCCAGTGTAAAAATTGTCTACAAAGGGGACACAATAAAACATCATGCAAGAATCCTACACTGGTTCCAGAACCTCAACCAAAGAAAAAAATGGGCAGGCCTAGGTTGGAACCTGATTTGGTTAATTGTTCAGGAACTAAAACAGGATCTAGAGGTGGTGGAAGGGCTGGTGGAAGGGTTGGTGGAGGAAGGAGTAGAGGTGGTGGTAGGGGCTCTAGTGGAAGAGGCAATAGAGGTGGTGGTAGGGGATCTAGTGAAGGATTCCAAACAGAATATGGGAAGGGTACTTCTGAGTTTCCTAAATGTGAGCCTGAAGATGTTGCCATTCCAAATGTTGAGAGTGAAAATGATGCAAGTCCATATTTTCAAAATCATATTAGCTTAACAATTGACAACCTAAGGAAATCTTTATACACTACAAAAGAGATCATGGACTATCTTGGACTCAGTGAAGCAGAATTACAAGAAATTGAATGTCTTGGATTGAGTGAAGCAGAAGTACAACAAATTGAAGATGTGGATGTTGCTATGTCACAAGTATGCTTTCTTTCTCATTATTCATTTTGTGATGTTAAATCTTGCTAACTGGTCTTTTTTTTTTATGCTTGTTACAGGATGTTGGAATTGCTAGCCAAATAACAGTTGAAGAACTCCCTACAAATCATGTACTTGGAGATGAGGAAAGGATGAATGGGGAGGATGGCATAGATGAGCCAGGGATGGGTGAGGTAATGATGAATGAGGAAAGGATGGATGGAGAGAGAGAAATACCTAGCACACAACAATTGAATAAAGTCAGAAAGAGGACTACAAAGAGGAGCAAAGTGAATCAAGTCAGGAGGAGGAAGCCTTCGGAAAGGATAATAGAGATCCAGTTAAAAAAGGTGGTAGTTGTCAAGAATGGAAAGGGAATGAGTTCATCCAACCCCCTTAGTCTAGATTAGGGTGTTTCTAATCCCTACTTTTGTTAAGAACATGTATAAAACTTTTGGGTTTGGGAAAATGTTGATAGCCCCTTTTGTTGATAGCCCTTTTTGTTGATAGCCCCTTTTGTTGATAGCCCTTTTTGTTTACAACCATATAAACTATAGGCTTTGGGCCCCTTGATCATGTTTTTGGGAATTTACACAACTTTCCATACAACTTGTTTGGCTTTGGTTAATATTACTACATGTTCTATGATTAACAATGTTTATGTTCCCTTTGGTTATATTGATTCCTTGTTTTATAGATTCCAGTCATGCATACATTACTTGTGCTTACAATGTTTGCTTATATGGATACTAGTTATGCATGATTCCGGTCATGCATGATTCCGGTCATGCTTGATTCCAGTCCTCGTATGTTAAACTTGTTCTGGATTTGGTTAATATTACTACATGTTCTATTTTATTTTCCCCTTCTTTTAATTGCCTCCATAATCCTCTTATGTTAAAATTGATGTAAGGGTAAAATTGTCATTTCAGACACTAAACCTTCAAAATCTTCCCATGAATGTGGCCATCCATTCTTGAAAGCCATACCTGTCAAGGTTGAAAGCCATATCTAGTTATGCATGATTCCGGTCATGCATGATTGACTCCATTATGTATTGATTCGTTTGTGTATGATGTCCATTATTAACTTATTACAGTCATACTTTGATTCCATTCATTGATTACAATCAATACATTTAAAGTTCATACATAAACTAGATACTTCATTCATAATCATATGAGTAACAAGATACTACATTCATAGTAAACTAACAACCCTTAGTCATAACCAAAACAAACACAACCAAAATACATTAAAACAACTTTCTATCCTACCAATCCATCAACATAACTAACAAAAACACAAAAGATACCACAGAGACATAAAGCAATGATTTCCATCTTCCTCCTTCCGCTGCTTGTTGTGCAATTGGTTGTTGTGCCATTGGTTGTTCCACAAAGTCTCCAAAAAAGTTCCCAACTGGTTGTTCTTACCCAAACTCCCCAAATATTCGATGGTTCTCCAAATCAACATTGTTGTGTAATACTAATAACATATCTGCATACCACTGGCTTGGTAGAGGAGGATCCACCCAACGAAAGTACTTGCAATCTTTGAGTCCATTCTGGTAATTTGGGAATCCTATAAACCTTCTTCCTGGGTTTAATGGAGTCCATGAAGTCCATCTTCCTACAGGATCACCATAGTAGCACCTCTTTTTGAGACGATTCATTAAAGATGAAGAAGACGAAGAAGACATTTGTCTTGATCCTGCACTACTCCTGCTTCAATCGTTGTCTGCTAGGGCACGAATGAAGTTTTCCACTATATTTAGAGTTTAATACAAGGCCATTAAATGACTCACCAACCACCTCAGCAAGTCCTTGCCACATAAGCCAATTTAACCGGCTAAATGAAGGTCACCGGTAAAATAGGGCTGAAATGTTCAATTTACCCGGTTTCCTGGGTTTTTTTGTTCAAAAAAAAATGTTAGGACCAAAGTGTAACTTTTCCCAAAAGTTTGGGACTTTTTTGAAGATTTCCCTAATATTTTCCATGCTAATCTCTAACTATCTTTGTTGTTACATACTTCATCGGCATGTGTCCAAAATTTCCCTTTTCAGCTACAACTTCACCAATATGCTATTTTCAGCTAAAAATATACATATCAAGAAACTATGCACTGTTTTTCATATTTTAATCACAAAAACACCAAAAAAGTACCTAAAATATCCCTTAAAATATGAATTTAGGATACATTAACACTTGACTTTTCCTTATCCCCAAATAAATCCTTAGTAGTTTAGGCAACAATATAAGTTCGAAAACAATTAAGATCAATTATTTTATTCTAAATGCTACTAAAAGAAGTCAATGACTTTATATATATATTATATATATATATATATATATATATATATATATATATATATATATATATACCCTAATAAAAGAAAATAACATTGCTACTTGTCAACTTATTATGCAATTGGACATATGTTATTTTCTTAATTTTTTTATTTATTTAATATTCCACTTGTCAATTTGTTATAATGACACCTAAACATATATAATGAAGATGCATATTCTTGACACAAACACACGTATATACAATGTTTGATTTGATTTCCAAAATATTAGCAAATCAGAATTATAATGTCATTTTCTTGATTTCCTAAATTTTAGTCCATAAATAAACCAAAACATACGTTTGATTTCATAATTATAGGAAAACTATGTGTATATTTTTGGAACCTGTAATCACGCACCACTATTAATGAATTACATTCAAATTTCAGTTAATTCAATTTCTATTACCATATATATGTATACTTTACCCTGTGAAAATAAAGTTAAGAAAATCAGATGATATATGCTAATATAAATATAAATTCCATATATATGCATATTTTATAGTATTTAATTGGTTTTTCATCTCAAAATCGAGATTATTTTGCCACTTTTGATATAGTTTCTTCTGCAAATTCATCGTCACCTACAACAATTGCTAACAAAGGTTATCTCTTATGCTTCATATGTGTGTTCTTCCTTTTGCGTATAACAGGTTCTGATAAAGATAGACTTAAAGGTGCAAAATATCAAAAGTTTTTTAGCATCATGTTTAGTTTTCTTCACTAACTTTTTGGTTTAATTTCTCTCCTAAATGGGAGATGTGCTGGAATTGGATTGCATTTGTCACTATTTTCATAATTAAACGGCCTTGAGTTTTTCAAGGATATTATTGGAGTATATCATGCTGTTTTGGGAGGTTTTTCTGTTAAACGTCATGGTGTCCCTATCTACTCCCTTGGTTTTTAGTAGGCACTTATAAGTATTTTTGGTATATATTTATTTTAGTGGTGGTGAAGTATAGACGCAATTGCCCCTGTCCTTGGCTTTTTCACCTTTGTTTTGTCTTCAAGGGTATTCTTGGAATTTGTGTCTATTGCCTGGACATACATTTAAGTTTCCTTTGTCTGACTTCGTTTACAAAGGTTTGAAAGAAGCCTTAAATGAAAAATGGTTGCTTTGGCAATTGTTATTTTTTATTTTTTTATTTTATTTTATTATTATTATTATATTTGATTTCATCATTTGTCCTGTTTGCAGAAACGTTTTACTGTTTCTGATAATCAAAATTATAGCACAAATACATGACAAATCTGTCCATGCCCTTAATTCGAATAAAAATAAATCACCATATATGCTTTGTTGCTGAATTGCAGGTTAAAGTATATTTAGTATAAGAGTTCTAAATAAGAATAAGAGTTCTAAATCAGAAATAAGCCCAATTATAGGTTAGTGTATTTAGGATTCTTATAGAGCTGATAAGCATGCTAGAAAAGTAATAATTTTTCATCAATTAAATTTCCCTTTTATGCTATCTAGATAACTGATTTATATAAAATATTATGGCACTTACAAAATGCAAATAAATAACAAACAAGGACACATGCCTACAATGGTATCTCCATAATATAAAGTATAATTTTGATTTCAGGGGCATTTATGTCATGATTTACATAAATCTATGTTTTTTTTTCTATTTTTTGTTATATTTTGTCTTCGATGGTTTTACTTTAATGACTTAGACATAAACATGAGATGAACCAATTTGTTTTACTCTGTGATCGGTCAACTAATCAACATTTAATTTTTTAGTTACGCATCATCAATGAATCTATTTGAAAGATTCATTGGAACAGTAAAAAACACTAACTCGGATATAAAAATATATAAGACTGTTCCAATGTCTAAAATACACGACCTCAAATAAACCATATGTTGAGAGTAACAACCAGATGTTGAGAGTATATATCATTGAACCTTGACAGATGTTTCAAAGTTTTATAAGGATTTCGAAAATGGAGTGGACAATTGAAAAAAAAAAAAAAACATTTTCTTTTATAGCCTTATACTTTCTGGAAATAGTCATTTATATTTTTATCGCATTCTCCTTTCTTAAAGAAAACACTTTTTGAGGATTTCGAACATGGAGTGAAAATTAAAAAAAAAAAAAAAAAAAAAAAAAAAACAAAAACAAAAACATTTTATTTTATAGCATTCTACTTTGTAAAATGGTCTTTTTTAAAGATTTTTATAATTGGCCGAAAATTAAAAAAATAAATAAATAAACATTTTCTTATAGCATTATACTTTTTGGAACTATCATTTATAGTATTCTAATTTGTAAATTTGTATTTTTTTTAGAAGATTTTTGAACATATAACGGAAAATTTTAAAAGAATGTTTTCTTTTATAGAATTCTACTTTTGGAAATTGTCGTATAAAGATTATACTTTGTAAAACGGTATCACCCAACAAAACAAAAGCTTACAAATATTTAAAACAACAAAAACATATTCTACGCATACCACCACAACCCGATTTTGTTTTTTATGTAAAATTATTATTACTAAAATAATATGTAATGCTTACCACTTTATATTATTTTTTTTAAAACCCCGTGTATTACACGGGTCTCACTCCTAGTATATATATATATATATATATAAAACAAGTTTTTTCATAGATTGACTTTTCCTCTTGAAGTTAACTAGAAAATTATAATTTCTTCAATATTTCACATTTTCATATTTGGAACTTTTCTTTACTTCATTTCTTTTATTTTTACATGGAAACCATCATATTCTATGTTGGTTAATAAAATTTGAAGGGGTACATGACGTTGATTATGCAAAATTATATTTTCTTCAATATTTGAAACTTCTCTTTACTTCATTTCTTTTATTTTTACATGGAAACCCATCATATTCTATGTTGGTTAATAAAATTTTAAGGGGTACATTATGTTTATTATGCAAAATTCTAAGGTATCTAACTTAACAAACGTCTAATTTTACAAATTGAAAATTCACTTGAAATTCTAAACAGAACAAACATAATATCCAAAATGGTTGAACACAACTTAAGAACTATTTACTTACACATAATTTAGCATTTAAATTCAATTTTTCTAATATAGGCATCTTTACATTATAATATGCATTTCTGCATGTTCGATCCCTACCCAAACTTGAATAATAAAATATCTTTATTCCTTTTCGAATAATATAACGTCTTCACGCGTTTGGGAATATATAATTAATAAAAAGGAAGACTTTTAGAAAGGATTCAATGGGATAGAAGTGGAGAGATGGATATTTGACTTGAGGACAAAATGTTTGTTTGAAAACTTCTTCAATTTTGGAACTTGTTTGATTAGCTGGAATTTGTATTATCTTTTAGCAAATGGTTACACTTAAGTAATTTATACATCTTCTTTGGCGGGATTTTGGCATCTTATATGTGTACGTGAGCATTGGCATCTTCTTCATTTAACTATTATGGAATGAACTGAGTTGAACAATTTTTCTTTTGTAAAAAGATGTTAGAGTTGGTCGAACTTGAGGTTCTTCTTCTGCTTTGGGCCTTCTCTCAATTTCTAATTAGTACTATACGTCTTTCTTTTTGTGAATAATAAGTATTCAACTATCGTTTCCGTGCTAAACACGCATTTGTTTAAGCGTCATTCTTCAACTTTAACTTTACATTCCTTATTTCCTCTCTTTGAAAATAGCTTTGGGTCATGATTTGGCACTTTGAACCAATAATTTGTTCTTAAAGTCATGCATTCATCAGTAGTATCAAATTGTTGTGTGAATTCATTAGATGTGGCATGATTTTATGTCCTCTATCTTCAGTTTTGACAACTATTCATGGCGTGTAGTAGATAATCGTGGGCATGATTTTCTACAGTTCCTTTAGTTTTTCTTCAAAAATTGTTTTCGGTTCGACTTGTGTTGAATACATTCACCTTCCATCCATCTTAAGATTTAAATTTATTATTGAGATTGACCCCTCACATAAAATTGTGTAATATCCCACTCTTCGTATTACAAAGCATATTTTCATGATCATTTTGTTCTTATGAATCAACTACCACTATTTTGGCATAAGAACTATATTTTTGCAATAAGAAGAACTATAGGTGACACGTGACTTATAAAATATTGTTAACCAACTAAATTTAACAAACTATTATACCTAAGGCAATATACTTAATCGGATATAGAATAACACATATAGATTCGATATAGTAGCTATTATGGTTGACTTAATGTAAGTGTAATGGATTAATGCCTCGTTGATTACTGATTCCTAAGGTGAGTAGATTAATGTTCGCTAACCTAATCCTTTAGCAAATAAATTCATTCATACAGGGATAAAGCGGATAAACTAACATATTTACTAGTGTTCAGTTCGAGTTATGTGAGACTTATAACTAATTGATCTATTTTCTTAATAAAATCAATTAAATATATGATTGGTCTTCATATATTAACTCCTACATTCACTTACCCACTTTTCTATTTCACCCTAGGTTTTTGCTCAAAACACTAGGCCTACAATTTTGCAAATCACAAGATCATAAGATTCAAGTCAATTGAGAATGACAGGTCATGAAAACTTAATTCAACTGAACAATAAACAAAAAATTAGTTATCATAAACATAGAGAGGTTCTTTAATAAGCTAACATAACACATATTCAACTTAGTATAATCCAATCCATAAATCAACTCATAAATAAGGAAGCAATCTATTCTAAATGAAAGTTAGGGTGTTTATCCCTTATCTTCATAAAACAAACATATACAAACATGGTTTACTTTAGAAGACATGATCAAATCAAAGTAATCAAGTAAAATGGAGCAATCAAATTTTGAACTTTAAAGCCTTCTAGGTTCATCTCTGATCTCTAAGTCAATAATAGATTCCAGCGTAAGATTGGTTTGCGAGATAAGTCAATTCATTTATAATTTTCCAAAAATCAGTGCAGCATGGCATAGTTAATGGCCACCACACCGTGGTTGGTTCAAAAATCGTGTATCCGACAAGTCATAGAGTTATCGGGAATCTTCACTTCACAATGGCATGGAGAGATTCAACATGTCGTGGTCCTTTATTTTTTCATCTTCTTTGCGCCTTAGTCCAAGTTCCTAGCTTCCAACTTCCAATTTGCTTCCTTTTCGATCCAAGCATGTCTTTTCCTACTAATACACAAAACATAGCAAATTAAGTATCTTTTGTCCTCATAATGAGCACAATTCAGGCTAAAATATGAAGATATGATTATATATATATATATATATATATATATATATATATATATATATATATATATATATATATATGTTTGATTATGGTGATTTGTTCCTTTCAGCGATCAGTTGTCTCTAGATGGGTGACAAATAGTAATTTGCCTCTGTTACTCTTTCTTTGGTAGTCGACAGTGATTACTTTCGTTTAACGAATAATGTTAAGATGATAAATTTCCACTTTATTTGTTTCATTTCGAATTGAAAAGGTGAAATATGTTATATTACATATAATAATATTGAACTATGTTTAAAATAAAAGATGTTGCCTTTTTTGCGATAGTATACATGACCTAAAAATGTGAAAATCTAAATATTAAATTATATATCGTTTTTTCTATTTTCTTTCATTCTTTTGCGTTTTGTTTTCAATGTGGTAAAATCCTTATTTTTATATTTGTATTAATAAGGCTTATTAATCGTAATTTAATAAAATGTGTCTTAATAAATCGTAATATAACTGTAGAATCTAATTAATGTATTGTCAAATGTATAACCAAGATAAGGAATTAATCGATGGACCAAGGTTAATGAATTAATCGGTTAAACAATGATTAATCATATAGAATTAAGTAATAAAATTTATTCAAAAATTAATATATCTTAATAAAGTCAGTATTTGAAATTTTTAAAATTTAAATACATTGGTATAATATTTGAAAATTTGAAAATTTAAATACTTTGATAGATGTGAACATTTTTTATAATAAATTTGCTACTATCTTCAAATCATTTATCAAACAATTACTAATTACAAAATTCCCAAAAACACATCATATGTTTAACTTGTATTTTGGTTTTATAAAACATATATTAACCGTTATCTTATAATGATTTATTTCTATTAGAACTTATGTCAAGTTAATAACTTTTGGAATGCAATATTCTTAAAAGTTTCTACAACCTTACTTTTTAGTATTGAAACAGATGAACGCTAATAAATATTGAGACCAAAATCTTATTTCACCATATTCCACATATATCTCAATGGTTATAAAGCACTCTAAAGGTGGATATGCATATCGATGAACTACCCTGCAGCCTCTAAACATGGAGCATAAAAAACTGAAAGTCAACATTTATTGTTTGATATCATATTTGGAAAAATAAAAAAAGGTGCTAAATGGAAAATTACATTGCCATTTCTTACATTTAGCCAATTAAAAATATGGAGGTTGGTGTGCTATTAAAATCTCAAGAGGATAGGTTGAAAGCTGCTATGGAACAGATAGAATCGAATCCTGAAGAGAGTGTGAAGCATCATGTTGAGACTTTTCAAAATGAATTTAAAGTGCTTCATGAAGTAGCCAAAGAAAGACATGTTCTTTTTGTCGAAGAGGTCAAGCAAGTTCAAGAATATGTAAATTTGAAGGTGGAGTCCCTCAATTCAAAAATGTCGAAGGAGGTGACTAAGTTTGAAAGAGTCAGTTGTCTCTACATACAAAACTGGATATTGTCTCTGAGGCAATTCGAAATCTAGTTGAAAATTTTTACTTCCTTCTTGACCAAGGATTCGTAAGTGTTCACCAAGATGGAAGAATTTTTGGAATGTTTGAAGGAGTCCATTTCAAAGCGTGATTCTTCTCCAAAATCTTTTATTTCTAAAGAGTCCTTATCTCAAATGTTTTGCTCTTTGGAGTCTAATGTAAAAGTAGACCTTGCTCCTATTCTAAAGCTGGTGAATTTGATGCCAACTGATGCCCTAACTATTAAAACATGGGTGCAAGGGGGAGAAAATTGGGTTGGTTAGTCAAAAGATCCTAATCAAGGAAAGGTGGTTGGGAATGGGATAAGCATGCAAATTTAAACATCACCTCCCACTTTGTCTACAACTTCAACTACAATGATTTTGAAGCCATTAACCAAAGGCATATTCATTGGTTCTACTATTGGAGGTTTGAGTTCGAAGCCACCACCTTCTAGTCAAGTTAATGGTGATAGAGGGAACAGGATTGTGAAGGGGATTTTGGAAGAAGTGAAAAGAAGAATATATAAAAAGAAATTGAAAAACAAAGATAGATCAACAAAATTTTAAGGCAAAGGCAAAATGGTCCTCCAGGTCTAGAGAAAGGAGATCCAACCAAGCAGTATTGCTATGAGACATATGAACAGATTGTTTCATCAGGTGAGATGTATGATTTTGAAAAAATACCGAAGAAGAGTTATGCGATAGAGAATTCAGACTTCAACCAGCTGGATTTTCACGACAATCATATGATGTTTATCTCAGCTCAGTACCAGTTGGTGGATAAATTTGATGACAAGGAGGAATACAAGAAGCTTAAGTTGAGATTTCATGCTATCCTTGGAAAGAAGGAGAAAGAAGTCTGGTCCTTAGTAAAGTTTGTCAAAGTTTTAAGTTTCTCCAAGGATAAGTTGTTTGAAGGGTTGTTGCAGAACTTTAGCTATCTATGGTTCATGCTAACAACGTTTATTGTGACTTTTCAATGGCTGATTTTCCTTTAATGAATCTCAATGATCTTATCAGTGTTGTGAGGATCTTGAGTGGTGTTGATGTGTCGAAACTTCAAGGGAATAGCAAAGAGGATTTCTTGATAGGTTTCGCTCATATCAAGCTACTCATAGACAATTATTACGATTGTCTAGCCTTGATTGATGTGGAGCTTGCTTTAGTAATGGGAAGACAAGTGACTGTGCCACAATCATTGCTGAAAGGTCAAGGAAGCCTGAAGGATTTCAAAGATGGAGAATTATATGTCAAGCCACTGGGAGTTGTGTTTGTTGGAATGAACAAAAATCAGAAGATCACTATGTTTTTGTTCAAGGTAGAAGTTGTGGAGATATATACGAATACAAAGTACACTAGTCTACTTGTTTGTTTTAATAACTACAAAATGAATACAGTTGGTGATAAGGTTGAGACTCGAAATACAATCATTTGGTACACAGAGATTCAAATGGTACTTCATCAAGAAATGAAGATGCTAATGACTTAGGACTCGACACCTCTCACAAAGGGGGAGAATGCAGAGTTCAAAATATGTTGTAAGGTGTTGAAGCGTCTTTGGTCATGTATAGTGTTGAAGTTTTTTTTGATGTATTCATTATATGTATTTCATAAGGAAAGTTTAGTTTTCAAAGCTTTAGTGTCTTAGCCCTTATTTATTTTTTATGCTTCTATTATCTCCTATAAATAGGAGTAAGTATACGTATTAGAGTAACTTTTGTGAGCTATAAGAACACTTTACTCTTTCATATTGTGTACTCTCTCAAAAGCAATAAGGAGTCAAATAGATTATATTTACATTTTGTGTTTTTAAATCAATTCATACTCTAATTTCAATCTTGCACTTGATTCAGACGAACTACATCATTGTCTTTATATCATGTAAACACATTAATTACTTATCGAGAAAACCAAAAAAAAAACATGATTTTGGATTACTTATCTCATTTTATTTCCAATTTTAATCACAAAAAAAAAACCATTTATTGAGCCTTGAAATTGACACACTTGTGAACAACTTGTCTGATATTCACAAAAATATTTGTTTAACCAACAAAAATTTCACTAACTTATATGTTACAAACACTAATATTCACTTAAAAAGGATCAAGCTGAAGCAGATTCTAATAAGCTTCAAGGTAAAATAACTAAATGGGCTTATTCTTATCAAAACCTCAACAAAATAATGGATCCTTAAAATCCTGATCAGTGTGAGAAAATCCTTGGTGGATATATTGATGAAGCTTGTAATATTCTTAAAGGTATTGAGACTAAATAAAATTTATATTCTACTAATGATATCATGGAAGATTTTAAAACGAGGTTCATTATGCACTCTTTCATAAATCAATATCTCATTGATAAACATTATACTACTAACCCTCAAGGTACCACTGTTTGTACTACTTGTCTAACTGCATTGGATCTTACCATCTATAACCCCATCACAGACATTCCCTCTCTCATATCACTGAAATGTATCTAAAATATTCCATATGGAATGGAGAGTATCACTCCACACATGAGATACTCACTGAGTCACCAGAATGTACCATTAATAGTTATGACACTGAATCTCCCTACTCCCTTAACATTGATGAATGTTTGTGCACATCAGCGTCACATGCCACCTCTTCATCTAGTCACATTGATAAGACTTTTATCTCAAGAACCTGTTCTAAAGTTCATAATTAAAAAAAGGTATTATCTCATTAGAAACACAATTATTTGAAATTTATAAAAAAAGAAAGCATATGATGAGGATATGCTATCGTTATAGATACACTACCCATAAGGTCAATGAATGTACTTTTGATGAAAATTCCAAGACAATAGACAATATTCGTTTGATAAATTAAAAATGGTTCAAAAGGTTAATTCTTTAAATTGTCCTATGTAACAACCCGTTCCCGATACGTTAATTCATTGGTAATTGTTGTAAGTTTTCAAGAGGGACTCGGCGAGTTCTAGCCTAACTCGCCGAGTAGGGTCGCGACTTCGAGCACGCGTGAGCCGGGGACTCGGCAAGTCCATATCCCTGACTCGGCGAGTCCATCCGTCTGGGTGAAACCCTAAATCCCCGAGTTGCCCACTATTTAAACCACCTTATAGCCCCCATTCTCGCCTCCCTCACCCTGAGAACACTGTGAGAAAGAACCCTAATCCTCCCTTGTGTGAGCTAAGTGTTTTGTGCCATTTTGTGAAGGTTTGAAGAAGGAGAAGAAGAAAGAAGCAAGGAGAAGAGCTGTAGTGCAAAGATCCAAGGGCAAATCTGAGTTATTTGAGGTATTTTCGGATTTCCCCTCTTGTTATATGCTTTAAACCTCCATTAAAGCTCTTCTAAGATCTAGTTGATGCTTGTTCCAAGCCTTATGTTTGCATGAATACCTTAATAGGCCGAGATATCTTTAGATCTGAATGATTGGGTGCTGTAGAGCCTAGATCTACTGCCTTTTTGGAGTTACTTTGCATATTAACCATAGATCTACCCATTTTGTGCATCTTTTAGCCTTATTTCCCTTATTCATGAGGTGGTACACGTAAAGTTGGAAACTTTACGTGGTAAATCAGCTTATTGGACCCAGATCTGTCAATTGTATGTGTTGGATTCAAACAAAATCAAGTAAAAATCAGTTGCATGGCGGCAACTCGGCGAGTCAGGAAGAACGACTCGGCGAGTTGGGTCGCGAGTTCCCGATTCCTTCATTTTTACCAGTGTCGAGTGAACCCAGTGAGCTAGAGAGTGGACTCAGCGAGTTGAGGGTAAACTCAGTGATGGAGGGACTCGGCGAGTTGTTCATCAACTCGGCGAGTCCAAGGCAATCTTCTTAAAGATCAAGAACAACTCGTCGAGTTTGTTCATACGGCTCGACGAGTCGGATGAAGATTGTCTGAGTTCTTGGATCAAGAGGGTACTCGTCGAGTCGATGCTACACTCGACGAGTAGCAGCGTGCAGATCTGAGAAGTGAGAGTAGGACTCGGCGAGTTGGGCGGCCCAACTCGGCGAGTCAGCCCAAAAGAGAGTTGACTTTGACCAAGGGTAAAAGAGTCATTTTACCCCAAGCGCAGTGTTTAGTATTTGATTGAGTGTGTTTATGGACTTGTAGCCGAGGAGATTCAGGAGTAGCAGCCGTTAGCTTCCCGAGCCACACACTCAGCAGCCAGCTTACGAGGTGAGTTTCCTTCCAGTAGGAACGGGTCTAAGGCCACAATGTCGGCCCGTTCAGTTAGCAGTAGTTTCCGGATTTAGGTCCGATGCAGTAGCTAGTATGTTCGATGCCTTCGTGGCTCGAACAGGATTTGTGTGCTATGCTTTATGCGTTAAGTATTATGTGTTCCGGGCTACGGCCCGATGTAGTATGTCGTATATGTGCTTATGCTAGTTGATGTGTTATGCTATGCCCTGTTCAGTCAGTCAGTTCCGGACTTCGGTCCGATGCAGTTAGTTCCGGACATTGGTCCGATGCAGTCGGTTCCGAACTTCGGTCCGATGCAGTTAGTTCCGGACTTCGGTCCGATGCAGGGGACAAGGTCCCAGTCAGTTCCGGACTTCGGTCCGATGCAGTTAGTTCCGGACTTCGGTCCGATGCAGGGGACAAGGTCCCGGTCAGTTCCGGACTTCGGTCCGATGCAGTTTCCAGGCTTCGGCCCGATGTAGTGGGCAAGGCCCAATATGTGTTTATATGTTATTGTATAGTATGTGGTAGTTTGGGGGAGCTCACTAAGCTTCGTGCTTACAGTTTCAGTTTTGGTTTCAGGTACTTCCGCAAGCAAAGGGAAGAGCTCGGGGTGACGGCATCGCACACACCACAGCTTTAGCTTTTAGCCTGGGATTGATTTAGTTTGTTTTGATTTGCCGTAGTATGATACAGTTTCCGCACAGTGTTTTCTATTATGTTGGAATACATCACGTATGGTTTTATTATATGACACTCTGTTTATGGTTTTGATTATATCGAAAAAACGAAATTTTTGGGTTGTATTTTTGGTTCGTTTCATCCTACTTCTTCTT